ATATATTATATATTATATTTTAACACATGAAAAATATTCAGTAAAATTTTCAACCTTTTATCTTAAACACTGTCCAAGAAACCACATTTTTTGTAAAAAAGATGCTCTTTTTTCAGCTTTATTTCTTTATAAATGATTAGAAAAGAACAATCGGGTATAATGACGATATAGAAAACATATAAAGTAAATAATAATACATCAGAAAAATGTAAAATCATAATTGGTTTCATCAAACTTGTTAGCAATATATCTTAAAAATGAAGAAGAAAAAGTTGGAAAGTATACTATCCGTCAAAGGGTTAAAACATAAAAATTGCATTATACTTTAAAAATTAAGGAAAAATAAATAATATAATTAATATGAGAGAAAATGTTTCAGAGAAATGTATCGAATTATACGGTAAAATGCCGCAAAATACATCTGAATAATCTTGTGTCTTGTACATCAGGCGATAAAATTCGTTCAACTTCGGAAGTAAGGATAGACGCGCTGACGGTCTGCGAAACGCATAGAATCTTAAACTTGGAAACTTGCGTGAGAGAAAGAGCAATAGAGATACGCAAATATAACGAAGCTTTCTCAAGCTTGCAATGGCGCGACGTATCTACAAGAAGAAAGCAGGTTTATTCGCCGAACTTATAATGACTCGACTTCGAAGAGGATTTTATTCTCGGTACTGGTAAAAACGTATTGTGTTCGAAAGTGCATTAGCTCTCGGGGATTCGAACACCGTTGCGCCAGGACGATTCCGAGATTGTTTCATTTTCCACCGTAAAGGGGACTGGCATTGTGCCTCTGCAGCGAGCTTGGTAGTATTGTTATGTCGGAAATATACCTCGCTTCTTCAGGACCACTCACGAAAATGTAAAAGCGACGATATCCTTATCACTATTAACGCCCGAAAAACCGAATGTTTCTTCTATCAATGGGACCATATAATCGGAGCGCGTTGGTCCAATCGCGAATAATTCGCGTTACCAGTTGATGCCGGCGTGCACGTGTAAGAAACGGTCCTATGTGGTTGTTGTATATACTATATTAGAAACGTGATCCTAAGAATATTTCGGTGCCAGTCTTTCAATTAGCTTGTATAACGACGCCGAAACTCGTTGTACTTCAAGGACACTACGTATGATGCATATACACGAGATATGTTTTTATAGTTGTCAATATACATGTATATGCGGCTAAGCAAACAGAGAAAACGATTAAAATGACGTAGATTAAGTGTTATTTGTCATTCTCTATGTATAGATATACCTTTTTCATAAATCTGTACATTTTCGCCGAATTAGTGTTGCGAATTGTGTCGAAAAAATTTATTTGCCATTGTACGCATTTAATAAAAGAGGAAAAAACATTCAAAGAAGAATGACGGATTGTGCACGAACGACCTACATTAATCGTACTTCTTTGGTTGAATGAATTTTTACACCGGATCGTTTAACAATTGTGGATCTTTAAGATATTATCACAATAACTCGTTAATCACTATTTTGTTCTTAATTCTTGATTGTTTCTGGTGTCATACATTAAAGAAGCAATTTTAATTAATATTTGAGTTAGCGAATGCTAATTACCCTTCCTTAGAAAAACGGCTCTTTCACGCCTTCTTGTTTGCTACTTTGTTATACGAACCGGTTATTTAAGTTTCACATGCCCCGACCGCAATCTCTTTTGCTTTCCAAGCACCAAGAATTTGTACTTCATGTTTGTGTCCATGCAACAAAAATGTAATAATCTGACGTTCTTTTTTATTTAGTAATTTAATATTGTTACGTTTTTAAGTGAGATAATTGAATAAAAAATAATTAACTGTTGAAAACAAAAACTATAGAGTACAGCGGGGTAATTTGAATAATTTCAAATATTTTAAACAATTTCTCGATAAAATAATTTTATAGTTACTTCGAATATGTAGCAGAACACTCACATGTTTAAGGAATATTTATCCAAAGTATAAATAATTAATCTTTAAATCTTGAGACGTAATGCCATTATCCGATTTCCCCCTACAATTTTAATGAAGCTCAATTTTAAGAGGCAATTTGGATATTTTAAAGGGTAATTTGAATAACATTGAAAATGAACATTAAAATTGCAACAAAAACCAAACTTTGTATTAAATTGAATTCATCCATAAGTTGGTCCTATTTACATTCTTTCTACGTAGATTTCATAAAAACTTAAGAAAGCAGGATATATTGCTATTCTTATAGACAGCAGTGACAACCGAAATTCTCTACCTACTTTGCTTAATAAAACTCTCCACAGACTTCCAGATGAACAGATATCTTTTCAAATCTACATGAATATGTAGATTACAGTATCTTCTTTGCTACTAATCCCAAATATAAAACATGGCGTCTCAAATTTTTTTGAAATTCTTGCAGACGCTTACTATTATCTAAATGTCTCCGCTCCATTCAAATTATCCCACTGTATCCTGTTAATTATTATACAAAATAATATTTAAAATAAAAAATTACAAAAAAAAAACAATTTAAAACAATTTCCTCGACATATCTGAGAATCAACAACCTGCAAAAACGTAAGTATCTTTAAAGTACAATATTTTCCTATTTAATACTTTTATTAAGCACACGGCTATATTTTATATACATTCGTAATGTGTTCGATAATCGATATATAAAGCTCAGCTCTGTGTAATTATTTCCATAATTATTATCTTCATATAACACAAAGCGCAGCTAGGAGGAAACTTTCCGTTACCAGCCAATAATTTCATCGCAAATGTAATTATTAACGCTGTCGAGCATTATATATACGGTGCAGTTCATTACATGGGAATTAATAAATTTAATGACAGTTACAGAGTGCGTCATGTCGCAGTGCAGCCGGTAGTGATGCACTATAGTGTAGTAGCTCCATCATCGAGGCATGCATCCAATTGGAAAGTCGATAGATTCTGTTACGTGACATGTGATCATACGTTCTGTTTCACAAGATACAATGCACTTTTTTTATATATTTTATTTTCAAGTCACGATGCGTATTTTTTATGACTGAGCATAAATTTCAGCGACAATAGAAACATTCAGTACAGCACAACGTAGTTAGTGGTTCAGTGGATCGAACATCGAAGTATCAAAAATGCATCAAAGTGAGTATTAAATCAAATGTGCGTGCATGTGTGCGTATGTATGTATAGGTGCGTGTGTGCGTGTGTGCGTGTGTGTGTGTGTGTGTGTGTGTGTGTGTGTGTGTGTGTGTGTGTGTGTGTGTGTGCGTGTGTGTGTGTGTATGTGTGGTATTGATACCGC